GATAAATAAACATTTTTTTTAAAAAAATCACAAATACACACATTCTTCTGGAAAATACCTTGAGAAATACATTTTTCTCACCATTGTAATCTTGGGCAGGTGTCAGGACGGAAAAGCTAAGTGTTTGCCAAGGTCCACAGAGGTAACCAAGAAGTGGGGAAAGGGTCTGAACTGAGCCCACATGGCACAGTTCCCACCCTTAGCATCTCCTAAACATGCAGCAAAGCATTACACAAAGGTGCTGAAGCCATACTGGGGCAATATATTTGACCATGAGTATTATATTTTTTTGGAGTTTATAGTGCATGCAAGAAACTTGAAAATTAAGACTTTTCAAACAGAGCAGGCCCAGGTTAAGGGACCTAGTACATCAAGTAGAGGGCCCAGAATGCCTGTTTAACTTGATTCAGGCATTGCCAACCACAGACGGAGTGTAGACCTATTAGCTGAAGAGAGAGAAAAACACTGTTTAAATTCGGTAATCATGTGAAGTATGTGCAGAGCCTGAATTTTTCTGCTAAGCACAGTGAGGAGCAAATGTATTTATACAGTGCTAATTCCCTGTGTTCAACATAGAACCTGTAGGGAAACAGTTGTGAGTAGGATTGAAGTCAGCCAGAGAAGTGCTGTTACACATTATTGGAAAAGGCCAATCAATTCATAATCCTAAGGAACCATTTCTGGCTAAGAAATGTTTTAATGAATATGCTTTCAAGAAGTGTAATGACCCATAGGCCATAGCCAGGAGTATTTCCTTTATATTTAGTTTTCTAAAATTTGTCAATTCAAAAATAGCTTGCTACTCTCAAAACGGTATCATGAAACTCAGACAATGAATTCAATCTGCGTGTGTCTGAGCTGAGTCATTCCACTAGGAATGTCAGCTGAGGCTGTTGACAGATGTTTGAATTTATGGATTCAGTATCTGTGTTAATCTGCATTAGAGATAACAGGTGCAGAGTGCATATTCACTGTTAGAACCCAGATCCTCAGCGATTTGCTCCAGGTGTTTCCATCCCGAGCTCTGTGCATCTGCCCAGGAGAAGCATTCCAGACTCATGTGGCAGCCTGGGCCACAGAGCCAGAGTCATCACTGGACCTCACTATCTGAGTCTCAGCCTCCAGCTGTTGAGATCTCTCTGTTGGAAGGATGGAGACATCCAGGGACTTTCTACCAAAGGGAATCAGGGTGGCATTTCTGTTGACAGGAGAGTTGAAAAGAGCTGTTGGATGCTAAGCATGCATGGTGAGCAAGATGATGAGGTGCTGCTTGATGTGCAGATGATGTTGATGATAGAGATACAGAGAATGAACCATGGGCCAAGACATTTGCTCAAGTGTTCATGTTCCCAAAGATAGACCATGGGGCTTACAGCACATATGCACAGATGCATCCTCAATTCATAGCCTCACTGGACTCAGAACTTGAATTCCTTTGGTGTTGAAATTTTCTTTTGCTTTTCCTCCATCATGTGGTTCTTTACATGTCCTTCTAACAACAACAACAATAAAATGCCAAGTTTCTCAAGAATATGGAGTTAATGAAGATACTTACACTTTACTAGAAAATAGTTAAGAGTAGAAATGGAGCAAAAGATCAGTGGAGAAGAGGGCATCATGACGAACATGGTCAATTGTGTGGTTCTGACAAAGGCTGGCACTGAGGTTACCTCACCTCTGCAAAGCTCGTTGTGACATCCAGAAGCTCAGCAAAATGAATGAAAACAAATCAAAACAAACATAAATGAAGGAGACACATGATGCATCTTCTTCAATGATTCACTCTGATTAAAATCAGCTATCTCCTTTAAGATCCTGTTTCAGGCAAGTTCAACTACCATTGGAAAATAATGGTGGAAGCATTGGGGCACTGGGAAGGAAGTAACTGTTAGAGTGCCCTAAGAACCCTGAAGTCATCATTTGATGCTCAGAAAATTAGGAGAAGGCTCTGCCTGTTCTCTGACCAATTAATTCTAAAGGACAGCAAGATCCAGACTCTACCACCTGTGGCAAGCTTCTCGGATGAACTAATCCATCTGGGGTAATTTTTCCCCTGAAACACATATTTTTCTTAACAGTAAATATGTTTTTAAGCTACTTTTTAAAGGGCACTATCTTTTTACTTCATTTTTATTTTAAGTTTGAATTTTATGGTACAATTGCATACAGTCTGGTATTTCCCTGCCCCCTCCTCAAATTCCCAATCCCTGACTAATTTTATCCATATTATTACAATAGTATAGTCCTTTATAACCAGGCATAAGGCTGTCATTCTGTTACTTAAGTGTGCCTTGACATTGCTACTGCAGAAAATGTCAGACAGACCAGCATCCCATTATTTAGATATGTCCAACTGTTTCACTGGGAGCCCATCTTTGATTTGAAAGTAGAGATGCATAATGCATTTCATCTTCACATCTGGATATGACAGTCTCTATTATGCTGTCATGATATAGTCCCTTAAATAAGACGCCATGAAAAAAAAATCAACAACAAGTATAAAGATAAAACAATCTACAGTACCATGGAGTAAAAAAACATACCCCTGGATAACCAACACATGGGTGAAGAAATAAAAAAGAAAACATAAAGGCATATTGGGTAAAATGACACCAGTGTGTGATCCATGAGCCAGCGATTAATTTGACAAGAGAAAAGGAAATCATTTGGAAGAAATGAAAATAAAAACAAAAAACACCAAAACACATGGTATGCAGCAAAAACAGTATGGAAAGGGATATTGATCTTATAATTTGCATGAAGGTTGCCTTATATCAGAGAGAACATATGATATTTGTCCTTTTGGGATCGACCTATTTCACTGAACATGGTGGTCAGGTTGGGATCATCCTATATCAAATGGTATAATTTCATTCTTTTTAGTTACTGAGTATTATGCCGTGGAGTACAGGTACCGCAGTTTCTTTAAACACTCCTGTTCAGATGGGCATCTGGGTTGTTTTCATGTGCTGCTATAAATATAGGACCCCTTCTCATATGCAGTTTTCATTTCCTTTGGGTATATACCCATGAGCGGGATAGCTGGGTCATATGGCTGGCATATTTGTAGTTCTCCAAGCATTCTCCATACTCATTTCCATAGTGGTTGCACTAGCCTGCACTCCCACCAGCAGTGAAGGAGGTTATCTTTCTCCCCATATCCATGCCAGCAGGTGTCCTTAGTAGGCCAACCTCACTGGGGTTAGGTGGAAATTCAGTGTGGTTTTCATTTGCATTTCCCTGATAGCAAGGGAGCCAGTGCATTTTTTCATATGTGTATTTGCCATTTGAATTGGTTATTTTGAAAATTTTTTGGTCATTTCCTTTGCTCATTTCTTCACAAGGTTTTTTTTTTGTTGTTGTTGTTGTTAGTTTTTTTTTTTTTAAACTGTCTCTGGATTTCTGAAGCTCTTTGTAAATGATGGATATTGGTCCCCTATCAGTTGTGTAGCATGCAAAGATTTTTCTCCCATTCTGTTGATTGCTTCTTCACTTTAGTTGTTTTCTTTGCTGTACAGAACCTTTTTAGTGTGATGTAGTCCTATTTGTTTATTTTGTCTTTAACTGCCTGTGCTCTTTGGGCATTTGAGAAGCTAGTATGATATTTTACTGGTTGGTGTTGGCTGCACATCAGCAAGCAACTTTTTTCTCTAAGCTGAAAGAAATACAGATGGTGATTCTAAGGAAACAAGAAAATTGTTATTAGCTGGCATTCCATGTTAAAGATCTTTAACTTAATAAATTAAAATGTTCTGAATATGGAGAGTGGTAACAGGCACACAGCACTGAGGATGTGGTTAACACTACAGAGTCAGAATATCAAAAATTCAAATGATAAATCTTCAAGTTTGCATATGTTACTGCAATGTAATCAAAAGGGATGAGTGAGAGTCTGACTTTTCAGAGTCCAGCTGCAAGAAAAATGTCTCCCCAACATTCATTCATCAAAATGAAAGCTGTCAGGTATCACGTGTTTGGAGCAAATTGTTCCATGTTTGTGTTTCTTTGCTTTAACCTCACAAGGGAAGGCAAAATTATGTACCTGCAGATTTATTTTAAAATTCTTATTTTTATTTTATTTAAAATAGAAATGTAACGATACAGAGAGAAGGAGATAGGGAAAGATCTTCTATCCCTAGGTTCACTCCCAAAGTGGCCAGAACAACTGGAGCTGAGCAGATTCGAAGATAGGAGCCAGGAGCTACGTTGGGGTGTCCCTCCAATGTTCAGGGTCCCAAGGCTTTCGGTCCTCTTCTATCATTCTCCCAGGCCACAAGCAGGGAGCTGGAAGGGAAGCGGAGCATCTGGCATATGAACTGGCACCCATATGGGATCCTAGGCAGATGCAAGGTGAGGATTTAGCCAGTAAACTATCATGTTTGCGTTGGGTTATATGCCTCTTGCAACAATTAAACATGGAGGAATGGATGAGTGCAGGGCAATAGAAAAGCGTGGGCTTTGGAATATGACAATCTTGAAATTGAACCTCATCTGATTAGTAACCAATGGAGTTATTTGAAGATTTGTTGCTTCCTTCATTTCTTTGCCTGTAACTCAGTGTTAGTGTTGTAATTTATTAAATGGTGGTAATGATAGAGGAAAGTGTTTAGCACGGTTTCTGTCCTCAATTACTGATTACAATGGTTTCAGTTAATGACCATCCCAGTAAAACGAGACTATCAGCTATCTCCTTTCAATGGGGATTTGTCATGTTAGGCGTGTCGGAGCTCCATTCTGGTGTAAGCTTTTGCAAACTTTGGGGTGCCTTGTCTTTTGGCTTCTTAGGATTGCCTTCTGCATAACATTGGGAAGTGAGGTGAGGAATGTTTTTAAGGAAACTGCGTAGTAACTCTGATAAAATAATAAAAATATTCACCTAAGACATTCCTATTTGGAATCCATTAGAACACTGATTCTCTGAAAAACTTGGCAGAGCAGTGATTTTTGGATTTCCATTGATGTGCGTTGGTGTCACAGAGCTCAATACCCTTTTTCTGCAGACCTTCTCGGGGAACGTGAATGCTGACAGCGTGGTGCACCACAAGCTCCAACACTCTGTGAAAGCCCGCTTCGTTCGCTTTGTGCCCTTGCAGTGGAACCCAAGTGGGAAGATTGGCATGAGGGTCGAGGTCTATGGATGCTCCTACAGTGAGTACCCCACATAACATATACACTTGTCTTTTGTGTGTGTGTGTATAACAATTATCTCAAGTTTATTTCTTGATGATAATGACATATATCCATACCTTAAAATGTTTAAGTCAATCTAGAAAGAGAAAACAAATAAACCAACAAAAACACTGTATAGTTAGAGCTGAAGGGCTTAGATGCCATAATGTGATAGTTGATAAGGATATAAAAGCTCTCATCCTTGAACAACCTGTGTTATTTCACATTAAAAGAGACCTTGAAATTCAGTTCTCTCCCAGCTGTGGGGTGAGGCAGTATGAGATCTTCTCCTCTCGAGGGAAGAGACAATAGCTTCTGTTCTAGAAGAAGGAGCATTTCAAGCCATGACTCACAATGTGTTTCTGTCTCAGAATTATGCCTTCCATTCATTCGTCTGTGACTTGTTTCTACTGGATGTGAAAGTAGAGCTGTTATGCGTATACATGAAGTCTGAAAACACAGGTTACATTGGGATCGCTATAGAATAAGTTGAAAATTGGACAATCTCCCATCCTTACATTTTACTCTTCTGCACTAAAACTTTATGTTGTATGATAGTGGAACTTCTGCCTTAAGTACTAAATGTGTGGTACTTATATATTAAAACCCAAAGTTCAGGGCCTGGCACGATAGTGTAATGGCAAATATCCTCTGTTTTGTGTTTTTCCCTAGTCTGTGGTTGTGACTTTCTTGTCTACCTGCACAGAAAACTTGCAGCAGCTGGTAAAGCACTGACAGTGTGTTTGGATGTCACTTTGGGGCTTCATGTTGAACTTTTCCTGGTCATGGGAGTAATGCAATCTCCACTTAGAAAAACGTCTGTAGTTGCATGCATGCACATTTGTCTGCAAAGTTAATTGGTTTTGCAAATGTGCTGAAGCCTGGTTCTGGACCAAGCTTACAAACTTTGAATTTTGGCATATTTTCAATCTTTCTTCTCTCCCAGAAGGGTTCCCTGTCTAGCAGGTCCTCTCAGGAAATAAACCTCCCTTATGGTAATGTGGACATTGAACCACTTTGAAGCATTGCAGTCACATGGTCTCCTGTCAGGAGCCTCAAGCTGGGGTCCGAAAGTTCTTAAATCCCATCCTGATGCTTAAGTGATTGCTGTTGTCAGTTTCAATGCAAAATCCCTATTGTGTCTGTCTTCTGGATTCAATCTCCCTTTCAGAATCTTCTTACCATTTTTACTATGTGATTCCTATAAATGTGAAATCTCATTCTATATATCGCAAACAGAATAGTAATAAGGAAAATTTCCCGGTCCCAGGAGAGGTTTTCAAAATTTCATTGCCAATGGGCCAAAGCTGGGAGCCAAGAGCCTCTTCCAGATCTCCCACATGAGTGCAGGGTCACAAGCACTCGGACCATTTCCTGCTGCTTTCCCAGGCTCAAGGCAGAGAGGTGGACCTGAAGCAGAGCAGCTGGGACAGCACTCAGAGCCTGTATCTGATGCTGGTGCCACAGCGTAGAGGATCACTTGTTCGGTGACAGCACCAGCCCTGTTTCTTATATTTTCCGCACTAAATTAGTACTTATCATTTGGAGTCATCACCAGCATTCTTCCACTTGTTGCGATCTCAGATATGCAGCAGTTCACAACACATTGCTGACCTTACAGAGGTCAGTAGGCGGTATTATTTCTAGGAGTTATTGGAAGAGAAACTGAAGATTGTTCCAATTTTACTATATCTGCTGTCAATGTGAGCACACACACACACAAAATTAAAACGTGAAACTTGTGAGGGTGAAATGGCTTTTAGTGAATTTCAATAATTTTATCTTACACCAGGTATTTCTAATAAGTACTGAAGAAAAAAAAAATACATCCAATTGCCTGATTGTTACGTCACTTTAGTTATGGCAAGTAGCTCAAATTTAGCATATTTCAAAAGAAATTCTTGATGAACAGCTCTCCCCAACCTGCACTGGATGTATTTTTTCCTGTGCTCCTGCTCATCTTAATAAATCATCCCAGACGTCGCTCTGATCGTTACAGGAATGCCCCTTTTCCTTATCTCCCACAGCAAATTCATCAACAAACCCCGTCAGTATCACCTTCCAATACTACCCAAATGTGTGCCTTTCATTTTGCCTACTCATACATCTTTTTTTAAAAGATTTATTTTTATTATTTTTTTATTAGAAAGGCGGATATACAGAGAGGAGAGACAGAGAGGAAGATCTTCCATCCGATGATTTCTCAGAGAGGAATGAATTGATTCTCAATATAAATAAGGCTAACTAGTTTAGTTGTCATTTCTGTACCTTAAAATAGCATAATTTTTATTTTACAGCATTGATAGCTGAATACAGATTACCTAGATAGGAAAAAATACATCCAGTGCAGGTTGGGGAGAACTGTTCATCAAGAATTTCTTTTGAAATATGCTAAATTTGAGCTACTTGCCATAACTAAAGTGACGTAACAATCAGGCAATTGGATGTATTTTTTTTTTCTTCAGTACTTATTAGAAATACCTGGTGTAAGATAAAATTATTGAAATTCACCTATCTAGATAGGTAATCTGTTTTCCATAAATAGTCATTTCTAGGTAAAAAGAATTATTTCCTATTTCATTGTGAATTATGTATCTTACTTAACAAACTGTTAGTTCTATCAGGCTAAGGAAAACATCTGCCTCAATACTTGGGATTTAGCAGAGTAAGGCTTGATTCTATCATCATGACTGAGTTAATTGAATAACTTCTGCAAAGTGGCCCCATCTGTGGGTGTCTTCTGATTTGTGCCCATTACTGGACTCATGAGCTCAGAACAGACCCTGTATTGTGCAGAGTCACCACCTCAATGTGCCGAGTCTCGGGCCATGGAAAGATTTTGCCACAGGAAAAATATCATAGTCAGTGTTAACACTTAGATTATGTTTCTTTCATTTTCTTCATAAAAACAAAGACATCAATCTACAAATCCTAAGCATGCACAGCTAAGAGACTTTTAGGCAGCTGCGGGGTGAAAAGTTCCTGTGTTATTGCCTCAAATGATCTATATGCCATTTGTTTTCTCAGATCCAACTCTTTATAAGAATTACCTGGGGATATATGTCTAACAAACCTATTACATGGAATTTGTTATGGCATCATATGTTAAGTTATTGCCTGTGATGCTGGCAGCCCATTGGAGCACAGATTCCAAACAATTTCCCTGTGAATGATTTGGATCCTTACCACTTACATGGGGGAATCGCGATAGAATCCCAGGTGAGGAGAACAAAGCAGCAAATGGAAGACCCTTCTTTGTCTCGCCCTTTCTGCCACTTTGCCATTCAAATACATGAATAAATATAGCTTCTTTAAAATAAAATCGACTCTGGGACATCAAAACACTTATCTCAGGCCAGGTGTAAGTATTTTTGTACTGGTAGCTCCCACATAATTGTAGTGAGATGAGACAGTTTAAAAGTCTTGTTTCAAAGTTCACTTGCTATCTAACTCTGGGATGCAGATTACTCTAGCTCTGCGTTGTCATGTTATCTTTGTGATCATTAATTATAAGGGTTTTGAATAAAGCCCAACAACTTTTCCTAAACTGTATAGAACGGTATTAAATTGATAACGGTTGCATTCAAATCACCAGAAGTAAGAACTTGACTCTACCATCTACCATGGCAGAGTCAATCTTAGGTCAATTTTGGACAATCTTAGGTCCTCTTTGAACATCATTTTTTTTTTCTAATAAAAAGGGTGATAGTGCTTTGCCTCATGCATGCAATTGTTTGCAAAAGTGTTTGTGGCATGTGATAAGTGTTCAAAATGGTCAGTTATGATGATTAAGATCTCCATTAGACAGAGTCCTTAGAACCAAGTATCTGCAGTACCTCAAATGAAGGACATCAACTTTTCAAATTCCACAAATCCCATCAGGATACTGGGAGACTTTATGCTATATGGAGTTCTGCTGTGGCTTTCTTTAAATATGGGTAGCTAATTATTTTTCAAAAAGCATTATAAATTTTGATCAAGTATAATGATCTGCCAGGCTTCTCTGTCCCATCAAGAACTGCAGCCATCATCTTCTACATCGGATCGCCTCTCTACCACCCAAGACCTTGCTGCTATTCTGCTAATTACTTGCAAGTGATATTATCCAAAACTCATCACTCTGAGAGCTGAGGTCTAATTCTCTTTTTGGAAATAAGCTTTGTTCTCAGCTCAGCTCAGCTCAGCTCAGCTCAGCTCAGCTGCCCTGTTGTTATCATTGGGGATCATTTGTCAGATATCACTGAGTCCATCAGATTGGAAATTTCCTCCTGGACTTGCAATGACTCTCATGCCTCTAGTCATAGAGGTTGTGTTGCCAGCTGTGTCCATGGTATGGAGCTAATGTGGGTCTCCAGACTAACCCTCAGACCTGAGGCACAGAGGGCAATGGGAGCTCTGAGTCCCACTCTGAAATCATAGCACTTGATAGATGAAGAACTCTGCAGGAAGAGCCACTATGAGCCACTATGCCGCCCCTGAACTATTACCCCTTGAAGTGAATCTTTTCTATTCTGTATATCCTTTCTGGTAGTGACCAATTGCTTCTCACTTAGTCCCTACTCTGTGCCTTTAAAAGGTGATAGCCCAGTAGGGTCACTGCGTAATCCACTGAGATATGTCTCAGTTGGATGTATCCAGACATGTCCCATGTATGTTATAGTATTTTATGCATTGACAGATCATTTTTCACATCTATGAGATTTCATTTGGGTAATAAGTCATAGATACCAAAGTAATACATCCCAGCCTCCCTTTATTGCATGCAACATTGTCTCAGGGATTCACTTTCTCTCTCTTTTTGTCTCTCCTCTATGTTTTATTTTCTGCTGTATGTCTCAGAACTTAGCACAATTGCCATGAAGGGACAAGGACATGCTCAGTGCCTGTTAAATAAATTTGGAAGTAACACATGAAAGAACAACTACAATGAAAGTTCCTTGAAATGAATATATTGTTTAGTACAGCCTTTACAGTTGTTGTTTTAGTTAGCTTTTCATCATTACAACAGAAATACCTAGGCTGTTCAGAGTGCCAAGTTAGAAAAAAAGATTCCTTGGCTTACAAGTCTGGAGTTTCAAAGCCAACATACAGCTCAGCCATTACAACAAACTCAATTTGACTCAACCTGTGGTTTGTTAAGACAATGTTTCATTGACAGAATTCCCTACAATATTAAGAATAGGCAAAGTTATAAGCCAGTTTGAACTATCCTAAAATTTGCCAAGTTCAGTAAAAACCATGCTTCAATATTATAAACTGCTACATATAAAAATCCAAATAGACACGAGACAGCTGAATAGTACCCTATAGTCATTTTAAGGTGCATAGCAGCTGGTTGTGTATAAACTAAAATTGAAATGTCAGTGAAGTAGTCACAGGATGTGGTTAAGAACTTGCATTTTCAAACATATTGGTTACTCAATACCATGTTAACTAACTCCATAACATTTTAAATTGTTGTTGATGTTATGTTGTGGCTTTTCATTGGAAGGGATGATATTCTCTCAGCTCTGCTTTCAGACCAGAGAGAGTCTTCCCAAGAAACTGTTGACTTTATCTGGACAATAAGTTGCTGGACTCTATGCATGGGACACGCTTGTAATGAAGGAATCATGATTGGGTTTGAACTGTAATACTGCAACAAGGTGGAGGAATCTGCCATCGGGGGAGGGTACGGGGAGGGGGTTGAGGGAATCCCAAAGTCTATGAAACTGTGTCACAAAGTGAAATGAAAAAAAAAAGAACAGGCCAATAGACACAGGAGTCCTCAGGATAAGTGCAAGTCATCTCACATCTCACAAACGTCTTCTTTCAGGTCAAAGTAAATCCAGCAATACTGCCCTCCCAGGAGGGCATCGTGCCCATCCCAGGAGTACTGAGGTATCAGTGCAAGCTGCCTTCCTACTAGGCCTGTAATTACCGATTGGCTGTCTATGCTTGTTTTCTGACCAAAACAGGGTTCTAAGGAATATTCTTGCATAGCTGATGGATGTGGATAGTTTGTCAACAAACCAGGTCCAAAAAGGGCTCCACTGCATAGATCACAAGCTACAGCCCTCCAGAGAGTGGGGAAGGGCTTGGGAGTAAAACTGGCGCCCATGTGGGATCCAGGTGTGTGCAAGGCAAGGCAAGGACTTGCATTAGGCTACTGCACTGGGCCCTACTGATGCAATTTTTAACATGAACTTTGTTACCGCATTCTTGCATTTGCTTGTATCAGGGAAGACATCATGCATCATTTTCAAGAAATAATGTGAGGCCCATAGACATGCCCCACATGGGTCAATGGGAGAACCGCTCTTCACGCTGGCTTCTCTCCCTAATCCGTGTTGCTCGCAGGGAGCCAACAGCCAGACACATTTGTGTACTTTCCCATCAGAAGGCCCTGCCTGCCCTGTCCCCTATGCATCTTGAAGCTAGTGTCTCACCAAAACTTCACTGTGTCGTGGTGGTGGGAGGAGGTGAATGTAGAGTGAGCAATTTATGAATAATGACTCCAACAGGGCACATGATGAGCAGATATGCTGAGGTGTGCTCTGTGCTATGGAGCACTACCTGCCTATGGGAGTGGGGAAAATATCAGAGGGAATACTGTTGAAAACTAGATTTCTATGCAAATGACTCCCCATCCCCTTGGTGTGAGTCTGCCTGAGGGAAACAGCCTTACCTGGAAACAGACACCTCCCTGTCCATCTGTGGCTGTACCTTGCTGGCCTCCTGCGGCCCTGCTCTACACCACACATTCTCACACTTCTATAGCCTCTATATGAGACATCAGGCCCCTTTTTCCCACAGGAGCTTTTAAGATTGGATTAATCCCTTGCATCCTCTGGGACAGTCTCTGAATCCCCTCTACCCTCATGACTCTGCACTCCTCTTCCCAGCTGAGGGACACAGTATGACCTTGCTACTATTTGCTGGGCATGAAATCTCCTAAGAACACAACTACTGCCTCAGAATGGGGCACCACTCAAACTGGCAGCAAGGGAAAAGATCCTTCAAATACAGCACATCCACAATGCACAGCTGAACAATTTTAGTTGGGATGTTGAGACCAGAATAGGACAGGGCAGGACATTTGGGGGCAATTTGGAATGTCCTGGGCAGGCAGCTGCTGGTTCAAAAGTTAAAACGGTATCCTTTGCAGGACAGAAGTGACAGTCACCACAGTGGTTTAGTTAGGCATAAGAAACTCTGCTTTGCATCCTAATCATTGCTACAGCTCCTGCTACCCACTGCTGAATTAATTAGCATAACATGCCAAGCACAATGGCATCCTCTTGTATGTGCTGTCACTTTATCAGCACTTTCACTCTCACAACAGCCTTCCCTAATGCACATAATGATCCTCATTTTGTAGACAAGAAAGGCAGCCTTGGTGAAGTAAAGTTGCCTGGGGTGATCAAGGCAGGCTAATTTAACATCCACAATCATATCTACACAATGATCCTCATTACTGCCTGACTGATGGTTGCTGGATGTAGCACCTTTGTGTCTTTAGAAAAAGGCCACGTCAGACAATAAATGTAGTTGTAAGGCTGATGTGAGCTGGGAGTTTCTTAAAAGGATGAGTGTTGGTGCAAATCTTGCTCTATCTGAAGTTCCTTGCTACAGCTTAGGAAGTCCTACATCCCCCTTTATTTTTTGGAGTCACTTTATTTCACAGGAATTAATAGTGAAGCTGCCTAATTGCAGGAAATTATCATTTCATTACTCTCTTTAATTTCAGAAATGGAGATTTATAAGAGTTTTTTAGATCTTTGGTTTTAAAAGTACTTGAAATTCCGATTTTGGGTCCCCACCCTCTCTCATAATGACCATAGCTCCAGAAACCTCTCAAAACGAACTAGCAAACAAACAAATAAACAAAAAAAAAAAACCCCTAGAATAGATAGACAGAGAACAGCAAGGAAAGCTTAGAAACAGACAGGAAACAATCAGTGGGGATGCACTCATTACTAACTCACTGGGTGGGACACAAACATTAGTTACTCCTCACTAGGGTATTGAAGATTTCTCTGCACACCCCTCCTAAAACTGTTCAACTAAACTGTTGACATATGTCTTGTTAGAGTTATAGAGTTAGACTACCCGAAAAGCAGCCAGGTTCTGCAAAATCATGCTTCAACGCTATAAACTGCTAAATACTAAAATTAAAATAGACATGAGACAGCTGAATAGTAATCTATAGCCATTTTAAGGTTATAGAATCTAGTTGTATATAAACTAATAATTGAAATGTCAATGTAGAAGTCATAGGATGTGGTTCAGAACTTGCATTCTTTTTTTTTTCTCTCTTTTAACATGTTGGTTACTCAATACCATGTCAACTAATTCCATAACATAAATTGTTACTGATGTAATGTCGGGGCTTTTAATTGATTGGGATGATACTCTGTTGGGTCTACCTTCAGACCAGAGATGGTGTCCCCAGGAAACCGTTAAACTTATCTGGACAATAAGATACTGGACTTTATGCTTGGCAGATGCTTGCAATGAAAGAATCTCAACTGAATTTGAACTGTGGTTATGCAACAAGGTGGAGGAATTCACCACGGGGTATGGAGGAGGTTGGGGGAGGGGAGGGGGGAATCCCAGTGCCTATAAAACTGTGTCACATAATGCAATGTAATCAATTAAAAAAGTACTTGAAATTGCATATGCTCAAGTTGAGGGTTTTAAATGAAAAAAGTTGGTTTTCCTTGGTGCTGGATTTGACATTAGAATAATTATCCTACTCTTGTAAGATAGAAAATACTGGTTCTATTTCAAATTACAATTATATAGCCTTATGATTTCTACTTTAAAAGTAGTAAAACCTCTCAACATTTTTTTTAGAATTGAAAAATAGGAAAATACTATAGAAATAATGTTATAATGGTACTTACAAAGGCCCCTCTTGGCCTTTTGGTACATGTTTACCAGATATGGTTATATCCATCAAAATCACAAGTACCTGGCCTTTTATTTTCTTGTTTAACAATAATAAATTGACATGTTTGTTCATAAATACTGAAGAGGTACATAGCACAAACACAGGGCAAGACAGAGATCAAAAGGACATGAGAATAAGTGAAAAACCCATGAAAAAATGAAACTTAAAACAAGCTGATTTTGATGTGAAACATTCTGAAAGCCCTGAACTTTTTTCACATTAAATATAGTCCATGAAGTGGATGACTTTTCCTGTGTTTTATCTTTCTGTTAAAATGCTACATGCCTTCCTTGGTTAAATACATTCAGCTGGTTCCAGAGTCCTAAGAAGATGGTGCTATTCAACCAGGTTCACATGGATAAGTGCCTTTTTATTTGCTGTCTAATCAGGAGCATGAGATAGTAAGATAAGTAGGCCCAGCTCTCAGATGCAAATGGACAGGAGAGTTAAATGATGAGCTGGCACTCCACAAGGGCATCCAACTCAGAGAGGCCTGGAGGGGTCCTTGCAGCATTCTCAGCCCGAGCCCTGAAGCAAAAGCCGGCACAACGCTAACAGGAGCTTTTACCTCCAGGCTAGGTTCAGTTGGCTTTGACTCAGCATATTATGTTGCTTATAAATGAGCTATTCTCCAGGGTCTAATTAGGGTTGGCCTAGTCTGGACCTGTTCCTGTGACCTGGACTGCAGCTGGGATGGGAAACAGGAGCAGTTATTCTGAGGACACATACTGACTTTTTGTTCTCTGTCTTCTCTCCATGTGTAGAATCTGATATTGCCAACTTTGACGGCCAGAGCTCGCTGCTGTACAGGTTCAGTCAGAAGCTCATGAGCACTCTCAAAGATGTCATCTCTCTCAAGTTCAAGAGCCTGCAAGGAGATGGGGTCCTGTTCCATGGAGAGGGTCAGCATGGAGACCACATCACCCTGGAGCTCCAGAAAGGAAGGCTCGCCCTGCATCTCAACTTGGGTAGGGCCAGGAGTATCCTCTTTCCTTCCTCCTCTGGTGCTGGGCAGGACACCTTTGCTGTGCACCATCCCCTTATCCTCATGGTGGTAGAGAAATATCACATTTCAACATGTTTAATACAAAAATAGTGCATTTGACACAAGGTAATAGAGTTACTTAGGAAAAGCTGCAAGCTAATTGTTATGTGATTCATTTTCACTGCTGTTTATCCATTCCTCTTAGTGACGCAAGCTCTCAAGTACAATTAGAAAATGTCTTTATTTATTTTCAAAGGTTTATTTACTTTTTGTGCAGAGAGCTGGAAAACAAGCAGACAGTTGCAGGAAGATAGGAGGAATGCCCCCAATAAATAAAATTAAATGATTAAAAATTAAGGAAACTATGCCAGTTTTTGAAAGATTGGAAAACAGAAAACAAAAGTAAATATTGTTTGAAATTCTGTATACTAGTCATCTCATAATATTTCAAGATATTGAAGTATTTTACTTAGCATGGGATATGGTATTAGGAAAGATATTTAACTTTTTATAAAAGGTAGACAAAAAAGACAGACGCCCCATTCACTGTTCATTCACCAACTGGACACCACAGCCAAGACTGAGATCTGGAGATTGTCAGTCCATCCAAGTCTTCTGTCTGGTGGTATGGACTCTGCCTCCCAGGATGACATCAGCAGAAAGCCAGGTCAGGAGCAAAGGTGCTGGAACTAGGACATTTCAGAGTCAGCTGCTGAGCCATATGCCCAACTGTTAGTATGAAACCTTTACATATTTGGAATTCATTTTCCTCTCCTATATTACATAGCTTCCAAAATGGACAGAGTTAATACTATCACGAACATACCTTCTTTCTTTATCTCTCTTTGTTTCTACTTTTCCTCCTTTTTCTTTCTCCTTTCCTTTTCTTTCTTTCTCTCTTTCTTTCTCTCTTTCTTTCTTTCTTTCTTTCTCTCTCTCTTTCTCTCTTCCTTCCTTCCTTCCTTCCTTCCTTCCTTTCTTTCTTTCTTTCTTTCTTTCTTTCTTTCTTTCTTTCTTTCTTTCTTTCTTTCTTTCTTTCGTTCTTTCTTTCTTTCTTTCTTTCTTTCTCTTCCTTCCTTTCTTCCTTCCTTTTTCCTTTTTTTCTTCCTCATCTCAGTGAATGGAGAAGAAATAGAAGTGAAGTAAGTGGACTAAAGAATGATGCATACATAATATGATTAGAAGACACGATCATTCCAGCAAATTTTCCTTTTGTGCAGTTCTCCAGCGTGCGAGCTTTTCATCATCACATCATTGACTTAGCAGTTTGGAACGCAGGCTAAGCATGGGGTTCAGCACCGTGGCCAGTTACTAAGGATGCTACTTGGAGGTATACCAGGTGCTGTGGTTCTTTCCAAGTGATGGTTTTATAACTCTGAATTCTATGACCTGTTTACCCACACTGTGTCTGACTTTGGATGCCAAACTTTGTCACACTGTGACACAAAGTCACACTGTGTCTGACTTTGGATGAACTTTGACTAGATGGTTTCCTTGTACCATCTTAGGGAGGTTTTTCTAGAACTACTATACAGGAAGTAAAGCTCTCCTTTCAATCCGTAAAGGGTTAAGAGAGATTCCTTTGGCTTTTTCTGTCTTTCAGATTGCCTGTGCCCATTTCATTCTGTAGAATTCAGATTCTCTGAATCTACATATATGGTTGAAGTGTCAAAAAGAAGAGATGTTGCATGACTGAGTAAAAGTTATAAGAACTAAGTGAGACATAAATATTACATGCAGCTCATTAATTCTCAGTATCAGAATTAATACACAGCTCAGTATCAGAGTTAAATGAAGATTTTCTTTAGTTCTTCTGCAATTCAGGTAGTTGGGTATGGTGAATTCACTCCAAGTCTCTCAAATGTGTGGCAGAAAGCCAGTCACTTGAGCCATTGTCGCTGCCCACCAGTACGCGCATCAACAGGAAGTTGTAGTTGAGTTATGGAGAGGTCTGACTCCCACTCACACTGGTACGGGATGTACTTATATCAAAGAGTGTCTGAAATGCTAGGCAATATCTCCACTTTAAGATAGCAATTTGTAAGACTGCAAATCGCAAAGTAAACCCAAATTAGAAATCATAGATAAGCAACAGCTCCTATAGACTTAGGGTTTTTTCTAGAATAGGATATCTAATTACAGGAAGTGTTGAAATTCATGAGTGTACCTTTTGAACTAATTAAAAACCAACATGTAATGTAGTACTTCATCATTAGGTTACAAATTCTTAATATATAGCTTTCAATGAAACAATTATGCAATGTGAGAATTATGTTTTAATAAATTTTTTTTTATGTTAGCCAAAGTGTTACATTCATGCAAAATACAGAGAAAAGAAATACTGGGTCAAATGCATCATTGAGTTTTATTTCAATATAATATTCATGCCTAATACATAGTCACATTTAGTCTCCATTTAGACTTTTCCATTCTGTTGTTACATATTTTAGACAAGTAAGGTATGAATGTTAATATGAAGTTACTCTTTATCAAAAAGTTAAGTCATTGGCCATCAGTGTGACTCAGCTTGTTACAGGCATCCCATGTTTAAGTGTTGTGTAATTATTCTGCTTCTGTTCTGACTTCCTGCTGTCATGCCAGGGAAGGTGGCAGACAAGAGGTCAGTACTTAAGCCCCTCCCACCCATATGGAGTTGTTGACTTCTGTCTGTAACCCGGTCCAGCTCTGACTGTTGTAGACACTTGGGCAATAATGAAAGATCACTCTCTCGCTTTTCTTTTTCTTTTTGTCGATTTGCATTTCAAGTAAATAAATCAATATTGAAATGCATAAGTTGTTTTGAGAGACAAACAAGAAGACAGCTGGATAGGGAAGAAGTGGGCGGAGAAGGGGTGGCAGAAAGACACAGAGAGAGACAGACAGAGGGAGGGAAGGAGAGAGAAATGCTCCCATTTCAGACTCATCTTTGGGCATTTTCAACAGCTGTGGGGTGATAAAACCAGGACATGCAAGCTTACACTAGATCTCCTATTTGAGTGTCAGCCAGTCAACTAGGACTTGAATTTGGTAGTATCTGCTTTCACCCAGGAAGTGCTTTACCACAAAGCTGGAGACAGGAGGTGGAGCCAGGGATTGAATCCAGGTACACCAATGTAGTTGTGACCAATAGTGAATTAGTCACAAGACCAAACACCCACCCTATAAATACCGTGTTGATATTTATGTAGCATTTCATCCAATGATTCTACATCAGGGAGCATATAGTTATTACTGCTTTTTCTCTTTGTGAATTATTGATGTCTCCAATGATTACGACAGTGATTATTGAAAAATAATATTCAATACTTTTCAATTTGCTTTCTTAGAATAAGGTCAAAATGCAGATTTTATTTAAAAAGTTGCAGATATGTTTTTCTTGAATTTCTCAGTATTTATTTTTGTTTTCCAAAAAGATTTATGGCACTGAATTTACAATTTTCTTCAGACACTGAAAATACTAGTAAGTAAATGAGCAATGTAAACAAGGAGCAATGCTAATTCACTTTTAAGAAAAAACCAACAAATTGCTTTAAGTGTTCATAAAAATTCCATGAGCTGTTTTGCATGAAATGGTACGTGTGTAATTAGGTTTATTGTTTCAGTAAACGCAGCAATCAAACAGTAGTCACTATTTAAGAAGATATTTGCTATATTACCCGAAAGTGCTATAATTATGAGAATTGTTGCAAGGGTTGGGAGGACTAAACTTTCTGAATTAAGATGAAGTTGTAGAGCCGAAGTATGGACTCAAGTTCTGACACAAGTGAAGATGGTCTGGGAAGTGCTGTCCCTGTTCCCACATTTACTGTTCTTGACGTTAGGATGGTGTTGGGGAAGGTGGTGATGCATACAAGCAGGTTAAGGTGGCAATCGTCAACCTGGCAAGCAGAGCTTGAGTGTTTCAGACAAAAGCTGAAAGCGCATGGGTCTAAACCCATTGTGCAGCATGGTATTGTTACTGTGTACCCTTGGAAGTACAACACCAAGTTTCTTTTCATTTTTTTAGATTTTTATCTCCTGGGCCTGGCATGGTAGCTTAGTGGCTAAAGTCCTTGCCTTCCATGCTGTGGTCTGGGAAGGCAGTACAGGACTGCTTAAAGCCTTGTGACCCTGCACCCATGTGGGAGACCTGGAAGAAGCTCTTGGGTCCTGGCTTCAGATCAGCTCAGCTCCAGCCATGTGGCCACTTGGGGAGTGAATCAGTATGGAACATCTTCCTTTCTGTCTCTCCTCCTCTCTATATCTGACTTTCCAATAAAAATAAATTAATTTTTGGGCCTGGTGCGGTGGCACAGTGGTTAAGGTCCTCGCCTTGCACGCCCGGGATCCCATATGGGCGCCGGTTCTAATCCCGGCAGCCCTGCTTCCCTTCCAGCTCCCTGCCTGTGGCCTGGGAAAGCAGTCGAAGATGACCCAAAGCCATTCTGGGAGAAAGGATCCAGAGGGTGGAGAAGGGAAGGGAGACCCTAAAGGAGAAGGAATGGGAAATAAGAAGGCAGGGTGGTTATAGAGGGAGGAAACAAAAAAATACCCAAACCAAAAACTGCCAAATGAAGTCAACCCCTAATTCTCCAGCTTTGCTTAATGCTCACACTTGCACCACTAGCTGAAGCTAAAGATGTCAGCTTGTGAAGAAAGCAGAGCCTGAGTGTTAGAGAAGGGTGTAGGGAGCCTGCAAGGCTGTGCTGGATGCAGGGCTGGATGCAGGGCTATGGAGGCCACTGCACCTGCAGATCCTGGGGCTGCACAGGCTGCTATCCCTGTGCTGTTGAGAGAACAGAAACTTCTGAGCTTCAGTTAATAAGGGCATGGACCAACACCAATCCATAATAAATTCTACTCCAGTGATGGGGGAGAAGAGGGGCTGATCAGTAATAACCATACCTAATTGAGTCTATTTTTCTAAAGTTCAGGCATCCTTGTCCAGAGGGACAGAAACTTATAATTTTATTGATGGAAGGAGACACCCAAGGATTTCCATAGAATTGGAAGTTGAGGAGAGGCACAGGGAAGGCTCCAATGAGGAAGGCCTGTTTCCAATTCTCCAGGGAGAGATTTCCAAGCTCTCCTGAGTCTGTGTCTTCAACACCCATACCACAATCAGAAAATATAGCACGCAGACATGGGTTTGAACTTGCTGCCTCAAATTCCTTATTTATAAATGTAGATTGAAGGTGGTGGTCCTTAGCAGATTGAAGGTGGTGGTCCTAACGTCCTGTCTCAGTGCCACTCTCACACACATTGGCACCTGCAGGGATGCCTCTCACCTCCACCTTCACAATTGTACAATTTCCTGTACACCTGTACAATTTCCTCACAGTACTCCGTGCCTCACCTGTGCTTCCCTCCTGCAAAGCTCTCAGAGTCAGCTCTTCCTTCTCAAACTCAAGGAATGCATGCCATTGCTTAAAGAGAGAAAGCATTTTCTTAATCATGTTCTGGTGACCAGTAGGATCTTGCTCTATTAATTGTTTAAGTCTTAGAGCAGTCACTGGGGCTGGTGGTTGATCTACCAGCTGAGAAGCTGGGATACCTCATTAAAATTCCCAGTTTTGGTAACAGCTTCACATTCCAGATTCCTGCTATTGCAAACCGGAAAAGGCAGCAAGTGATGAGTCAAATCTTTGTGTCTCTGCTACTCATGTGGGAGCCCTAGTCTGAACTGTAACTTCAACCTGGTTGTTGTAAGTATCTCAGGAGTGATCCCATAGATGGGCTCTCTCTCTCTCTCGACTCTCTCTCTCTCTCGACTCTCTCTCTCTCTCTTTCCCTGTGTCTCCCCCTCTGTCCCCACATGTTTCCCCTTTAATCCCCCCTGCTTCTTTCTGTCTCTCAAATAAATGTAGTTTTAATTTAAATGTCCGAGTACTGAAAACATACAATTTCATCTCAGGAAGGGAGTGTAAGCATCATTTAAGCAAGCTTGTGGTCCTGGGTCTGTGTGCTAAGCCTAATGGTCCTTTGTAACTCCACCACAGCTGGGGACCCACAGAGATGGTCCTTCTGTACCTTTGAGATAGAGAGCAATGGCATAGAGCTCACAGTGTTCTCAAGGTGGAGAAATGGCTATATGAATTCCGTGAAACCACATGTGTTTCAGATTTCATATTTGTGTTTAAATACAATTTTTTTGTATAAGGTCAGATCATGTGGTTTTCCTCCTGTCGCATCACATTGGCTCTAGAACATCTTCAACTGTTGATGTATTTTGCTAATGATTTTTTTCAATTAGGGTAGGTCATCTGGCAGCATTCAAAGCTAACCTCTTCCTCTCCTCCCTCACAGATGACAGCAAGGCGCGGCTCAGCAACAGCCTGCCCTCAGCCACCCTGGGCAGCCTCCTCGATGACCAGCACTGGCACTCAGTCCTGATTGAGCGGGTAGGCAAGCAAGTGAACTTCACTGTGGACAGGCACACGCAGCACTTCAGATCCAAGGGTGTGACGAACACTTTGGACATTGACTATGAGGTGAGTTGATGCTCCCTGCACATCCCCAGGCTGCTTGCGGGACAGTAGGCAATGAATAAATAAATAAATAGAGGGGGTAAACAACTAAAATATACACAGAGCAGTTGAGAGAAGACATGGGGTGCTGAGGAGCCTTGCTCTCGGTCTCATCTGCCCCTTTTCAGTGACTCATGGGCGACAAGAGGCAGCGTCCAGCCAGAATCTCTGAGGTGAAATGGAAATACACCGGTGATACAGCCAAAGTATGACAGCATACAAGCAGCAGGATTACTTTTCTCTCCTTGGGTCTTTGCGTAGTTCTGCCTGTGTCCACGCTCACTCATACAATCTGTTTGAGATCACAGCTAGATGACAAGAAATGAAATACCAAGCATTGAGGGAAACGGAATCCAATAAAGTCACAATTGATGACTTTGGAACTGATGTCTTGAGGGCACACCTGCATGTCGAGATGTCTGTGAGAGTGTTCTCCTTGAACACTTAGAGCTTGGAGCAGTCTCTGAGCAACTCTGCTTTGGAGATGCCACGACTTCGGTATTTGGTGCAGCCAATTTTTTCTGATGACAATGAAAGAAGACAAGTTAACTAGACAAGCAGTGTGACAAGATAAATTAGTGTTTACCCCTTTAGTTCACATTAATGAAAATAATTAGTTTTGTTTGATAATAGTATCAGAATAATTCCTCCATCATATTTGAATAAGGTAAGCTTACTACACAAGAGGAACCTTGTTTCATTGCTTCCTATTATGAAACTTGACAAAGAATGAAACCACCAAGTCTACAGTTTGCAATGATCTTCAATTTAAAGTCAAACGGGGAAAAAAATGTAAGTAATGTAGTTCCAGAGCTCAGGGCTCACGCTAAGCACTAGATTGTGAGAGCATCTCCAGGGACTGACTCTCCCTGGAAGGAAAGCCTGCCCACCAGAGGGTTCTCTGTTGCAGTGGCTGTGCAGTCCCAGCTCGGTGCATGCGGTTGGAGCTCCTCCATCACTCTATGCCTTGGGTTGACGTTTATTATAGTGAATGATAAATTCACAAACAAGATAGCTTTACAAGTTAGGCAAAATCGCAAAATACCTCACATAACGGAAACTGTTTTGCCTTCCTCCTCTTTTCCTTCCTTTTCCTTTTTCTTTTTATATCTGAACATTTTCCCCTTATTCTATTGATTTCCCTTCATTTCCATGATAGCTGCTGAGATTCCAAAGTAGGAAACAAAGGTCAATAAAAGTTGCAGTATCACATAATGTGTTTTGTTCCCTCTAGCTTGGTAGATACACTTTCAGAAACATGATCCACATATGTAAGCTGTCCATCCTGCAGAGAAGGGTACACCTGGCCTCTTCTAGGAACACTAGAGTGGGCAGGGAACAATAAAATTGATCAAAGAAGTCTCGGATCTGTTGGGGCAGACCCCGGGGTGATGTGTGAGAAAGACATGGTTTAAATGCCAATGGAAAGTTTGCTTGTCTCCTCAGAGCTCACAAGTGCCTCCCCTGCAAGATGCATAATGGTGCCATCTGGAACACTGGTTTCATTGAAAGAGATATTCTTTTCTGGGTGTATGAGGGACCTCTAATTTGTGGTTTTCATTGAGTCAATGGATTGAACACAGAAACAAGCATGCATTTTCTTTTTTTTTAGATTTATTTTATGGAGAAGGAGAGACAATCCCCAAGTGGCCACAACAGTGGGAGCTAAGCTGATCCAAAGCCAGGAGCTTCTTCCAGATGTCCCATGTGGGTGCAGGGTTCCATGGCCTTGAGCCATTCTCTACTGCTTTCCTGGCCATAAGCAGGGAGCTGGAAGGGAAATGGAGCAGTTGGGATAGGAACTGGCACCCTTATGGGATCCCGGAGCATGCAAGGAAAGGACTCAGCCATTAACATTATTTAAAGTAGGTACTTAACTTTATTTATTTATTTTTTTTTTCTTATTAATAAATTTTATTTTGACATTCTTTACATAGTTAATTAGGGTAAGAAGGTTCAAGGGCTACAGGAAAGTGGATAATACTAGTATGTTTTCCATATTGTTAGCTTCATATTCAAAGGGGGGTATTTAAGGGAAAAGCCCACCCAATTTCCCACCCTCCCCAGGTCCCGGATATAGGGCATGCTCTGAGGTTCTTGCTCAAGTGGTCTTGATATTGCCACAGTTATGAATCACTGTCAATCTTGCCACTCCAAGCACTATGAGATCTTTGAAAAATCCACTGATTGACATAGTCCATCATAGCTGAGATGGTTGGTTGACCTGTTCTGTCTTCTCTCTTTTCTTCGTTAGGGTTCTGAGTCCAGCATTTAGATTAGGAAGATCTCCAAAGAAACTTCTTGTATGTGCTAACAAGTACAGGGCCTGGCACCGTCCATCGCTCCAATCAGCTGGTGGTTGCAATTCCTGGGTTGGTTCTGTTTTCACTCCCGACTTCCACTGGAACCAATGGGTGTTGCAGTCCAGCCTGGTTCTGCCCAGCACATACTTGGCCCTCACATAAACCAGCAGGAGCTGTAGCCTAGGTTGGAGCGACCCACAATAACCCCAACCAGGCCCACCCCCTACCCTGGTTTGCCAGTAAGTGTAGCAGTAATCCAGTCTGTCCCACATCCCATTCCACCCCAGCCGCTGTCTTAGTTTTATGTCCTCCCATGGAAGTGGTAACCCAAGAGGGATGAGCCCACTATTTCCCTCCCAGGCCTCTCCCACTCCCAGATTCCAGTTGATGCTGCCCAAACAAACCTCGCCCACTTTAATTTTGTTTGCACCAGTAGGAATAATCCGCCCAGCCTGGCCTTTCCCTGATCTAGTCCACATGAGGCGCACAGGTGTGGTAGCTCTGCCTAGTCTGGTCTGCCCCCATCCCAGCCCATGCTCTCCTGTGGAAGTAGCTGTCCAGCAAAGGAACCCTCCCTTATTCCCCTGCCAGCTCTGCCCACTTCCTTTCTTGTTCTCAGGCTGGTTGGGCGCTGCGGTCCCTTCCGGTACAGGCAACCTCACCTCGGCATTCCATAATGTGCACTAGTCTTTGTTGCGACCGAACCTGGGTCGACCCACACTGGTGCCTGGATTTGCCAGTGGATGACGTGGACAGATTCAGCCTGGTCTTGCCCCCACGTCTGCCAATTGTATGCCAGTGGGTAGTTTTCCATGGCTTTTTCTGGGCTGTTTCCTATCATGTTTCTTGCGTTTACCTGCTGGGTCTGTGCCCTGCCAGAGGAGTTGCCCAGGCTCCTCCATCAGAACCTCTCCCAATGCCAGGTTTCACGCTTACCAGTGGGTCCATGAGCCAACCCTACTCAGTCCACCTCCTGTCATAGCAGGAACTGTGGCTTTTCCTGACTGGCCTTCAACCCAATCTGGTTCTTGCTGTTGGATGTTCCAGCCCAGACATGGTTTGCCCATACCCACGTATGGCTCACACATGGCTCAGTAGGGGTTTGAGACCCTGCCTAGTCCATCCCACATCTGCCCTGGTCCTCCAGAACACCAGGGGGAGTCGGGGTCCGGCCCAGTTCGGTGCATTCAATCCCAGTCCACACTTGTGCCAAGGGAGACTACAACTGTTTCCAGATCAGAACGCAGCCCCCTTCCAGGCCACGCGCCTCTTGGTGGGAACCTCAGCCCAGCTAGGGTTGTCCCCTTTGCTCCCCAACCGGGTCTGTTCCCAGCCATAGATCACATGCCTGCCAATGGATGCTCTGACTCAGCTTGGCACAGCCCCTCCCCTGTCCCGAACTCTGCCTTAGACACTGTGGCTTAGCGTCCCAGGCTCCCACAGACCAGCAGGTACAAGAGCCTAGCTCGGCATGACCTCTGCTCCCTCCTGGTTTCTAGTTTTACTTGTGGGCTAAGGTTTGCTCAGTCGTGCCTAATCTACTCTGTTCCATTACCAGTTGACACTTTGGCCAGCTGTTGGAGCTACTTGTGCAGGACAAGCCCCAAGCCATAGCTTCTGCATGACTGGTATTTGGTGCTCAGCATTATTAGTGATTACAAGTTTTGCTAAGGAAGAGTTACTGCCTGTTTCAGGTCCAAGAAGCACAATGGGTTCAACCTGGAGCTAATTAAGCAGCAACTCAAAGAACCAAATCCCCAGAGCTCCCGGGCCGGGCGGCCAGCAGGCGGAGCCTGGCACCAATGGCGCACTGGCCGCCCGGGGAGAACGGCTCACCATGTGCCCATGGCGGCCGTCCGGGATCCAGGCATGAGACGCCCCGTCCTGAGACCCACCAGCTGCCAGGAGACTGCTGGAGGTTTAAATAACCCAGGCCCAAGGTCGCGCCCCTCCCAAATCCCATTCACCGCCCCATGAAGGCGGCGGGTGGGCCCCGGACCTGCCCAGTCCCGGAGGCCTCCCCCCCTCGGTCTACTCACCCCGAAGGAAGCGGCCCCCGAAACCCAGCAGGCCCGGGGAGAACGGCTCACCATGTGCCCATGGCGGCCGTCCGGGATCCAGGCATGAGACGCCCCGTCCTGAGACCCACCAGCTGCCAGGAGACTGCTGGAGGTTTAAATAACCCAGGCCCAAGGTCGCGCCCCTCCCAAATCCCATTCACCGCCCCATGAAGGCGGCGGGTGGGCCCCGGACCTGCCCAGTCCCGGAGGCCTCCCCCCCTCGGTCTACTCACCCCGAAGGAAGCGGCCCCCGAAACCCAGCAGGCCCGGGGAGAACGGCTCACCATGTGCCCATGGCGGCCGTCCGGGATCCAGGCATGAGACGCCCCGTCCTGAGACCCACCAGGTACTTAACTTTAACAACAGCAAAAAACAAACGAAGAAACAAAAACCCCAAAACCCTGAGAATTTGTTGAACTAGGCCATTTTTTTGCTGCTATTGTAAAATAGTTGAGATTGGGTTTAATTATAAGGAAAGAGGTATGATTTGACTACAGATTTGGGTAGTTGAAGAGCACAGGTTGATATCTTCTTTTGACAAAGATTTGTCATCTTCTAAAAGATGACATCATATGGCAGGGACGTATGAGGAAGGAGAGAA